AGGGGTTGCCTTTGGATGTTATAGAGGCAGTAAATTTAAGTGAGCTTAAGAAAAGGCTTGACAAGTATATGAATGATAAAGGCTGGCAGTAAGATTTTTTATTTATTTATTTAATGGTTTTAGTTTAGTATAGAGGATGGGACAGCTGAGATGGACCAGTAGATCCCTTGTTGTCCCAAAACATTGTTACGTTAAGTCTGAATTCAGAAATCAGTTATAGAGAAGCATTTATCACATTGCTAATGCCAAAATTCCAAGGATAAATGTAGGTACCATTTTGTTCCTAACTAATTTTTACATTTAGTCTTCTCCATGATAGTTTTATTTTCCTCACTAAATCTGTACTTACAGCTATTAACAGACGAAAGTTACAAAATATAAGGTCAAATCGAGTGTTATCATTGGCATGACTGAATGCCAACCATAAACTTAGGTCTTGATGTAACTTTTGAATATTATTCTCTAATCTTTTTTTTTTAGTTGTGATAATGATTTTCGGTTTGAAGAATTTTCCTACGTAAAAAAAAAAAACAATTATGCATGTGTGTAAGGGGCATGGTGCCTTGATTAAGGAGTAATATATCACATGTCAGCCAGAAAAAGAATTCATATTAAAAAATGCAAGTCTAACCACTAAAGAAACGAGATCTCAAAGTATTTTTATTCACTCTAATGTATGTTAAAGAAACATTTTTGAAATTTTGGTGATATCAGTTAACAAATCTCGTATGAGGTTCAAGAAAATAATTACATTTCGTATAGTTTTGTGAAAATATACTGAAAGTCAATCAGAAATTCAACAGATAGAAAGCATCACTGTTAAGGAAAGGCCCTATTTCTAGGAAAACGATTACAGGTATTTTCAAATAAAGAACTAGTTGTCATCAGCCCTAAAAGGATTATGATAATAGTGTATTGTGTTTAGTTTCCTTGCGAATTGATTTTTAATAATAGAGGCAAACAAGTCACTCTTCTAGAAAACAAAATATAATTTATTTTTATAATTTTATTAAGCTTTATTAAAGGTAGTGATTTTGTTTTAAATTTAGTATTTCAAAACAAACATTAGCATTTAAATACGTTTATGAAACACAAAAAAAAACCCTTGACTTCCATTTACATATTTCTTTATTCTAATGAATAATTTTCACACTTAAAAGACATATTGACATGTTCAAGTAAAAACAATGGCAGCATCATTTAGTAAAGGATGTAAAATATATGTATAAATCAAACAAAATGTGCAACATCCAAAAACTAGTAATCGTAATGTACTTAATACATCACAGAGTAAAAGAAAGAAAGTGCTTATTACAAACACTAGTGGAAAAAAAAAGGAAGCTTTTGATATTAAAGGGAGTATTGAACACAAAAAAAATACTGACAATATTAGGTAGCAATAAAAATCATAGTTACAACGGGGGCAATACCAGCTTGTAAAATAACACTAGAGATGTTGGGTTGTAAAGGAAGTTTACACAAATCATAAACTGACTTATTTTGCTACATATGTTATTTCTTTTGGCATTTTTCACTCTTGTAAACAACAGAAGATCTAATGATAGTTTTTGTTGTTATAACACAGAAAACAATTATATGAAAGTTATAAACGTACCTAGCAGTAACATGGATTTGTTTGTTGAATTTTAAGCAAGCTACTCAAGGGCTATCTGCACTAGCCATCCCCATTTTGAAGTGATAGAAGGGAGCTAGATAGTCAAAACCACTAGTTCTTGGGCTATTCTTTACCAATGAATAGTGCCTCCAAAGCTGAAAGGGTGAACATGTTTGGTGACAGGTTTTGACTCGTAGATTGCGAATTGAGCACCCTAACCACCACGTTCTGCAACTTTGATAAATTATTTTGTGGTATGTTGAAATTTCAAGTTGCAATTTATGATATAAATCCATGTAAAAATCAACTATACATAAAAATATACAGTTTTTTTGGTTTAAACTTTAAGTGTTTTTTATCGTTATTTGAATTTCAAGTACATTTAAAAACAACTAAATGATTCACAAGATGTGTTTGTAGTTCTATCTTATTTGGTTATGTTTGTTCCTAATTGATTATCATCACTGGAAATATGTAGAATCGTACATTAAATTCATAAACTCCTTCTCCCAAAAATAAAAGGTGGGCAAGTCTTAAATTTTCCTTAGACATATATATATATATAAGTGTTTAGAAAGTTCATAATTATCTTAAAGCTGGCTACAAATAATTTAATATTAAAACATAGATTCATTAAGTACATAATATTACAATTTCATCAGAATGATAATCCTTTCTTATTTAGTCATTGAGCAGTCCTAGAAATAGAGATTACGTTCTTTACCTGTAAACAGTCGGTCTATTTGTGTAATGTTAAAAACAATTGCTTACCAATACATACAAATGGCACTTCAGTCACTCGTATGGGATCATTTTTTTTAGCATGATGGAAACCATGGGATGAAAAAATTGAGAAATTTTACATATCGTAAATATTAACGTAATGAGAAAATCTGTTATATTTTTATCTCTCAATAATGAAAAATCATTTTTACCCCAACAAGCTTGTTGACATTTTTCACTTTTGATAGTCAAGTAATATAATATATATACAATATATAAATGCTTTGAGCATCCTATTATGTCTGTGTGATAATGTTACTTTCCAACATGACAGATTGACTTTAGTTTAATAAATTATTACTGCTTTTAAAAAATGCTTATAGATGAAATAATTACAAAGCATTCCACCTAGAATACAAATTTCTGAACTTCTATATGTTAGTCTTTCATTCTATGTATCCTGAGATTTTGGGGAAGAAGGTGAAGTGACTAAGATTTATCAGTCAACACAAAATTTAAGTGATAACATGACATGATAGTAGTGACTCATTAGATACTAAACACGCAAGACAAACTAGTGTAGCTTAATTTTTCTAAACACTATAAAATTGTATATAATAAATGTGCTATTTTGAATAAAATAAAAACTATTAAAAATTTATACATATTATAAGTAATGTATTATTTGCAAGAAAGCTAATTCTACAACACTATATACATGTAATGAGATTGTGTGACCAGAAACTAATTGTAAAAAACTTTATACATCTACCAGGTTAACATCTAATATTAAAAAAACATTATTCCTGCTGAACTACATACAAGCATTATTACTCAGCTTTAACCAGAAGTACATGAGACTTTCTAAACATGTGATATGCTTTTAAATATCACTTTTCGCCAGGATACATAGATATAATTAAGAATAAGGAATATGTGGAAGGAGATGACTACTCCAATTTGTGGCTAATGATAATGAAGTTTATTGCCATATTAGGTGATGTCGGTATTCTCTTCCCAAGTACACAATTTGTTTCACTCCTTTTAAGTTTCACCTCTTAATAAAAAATATGCTTAATAACCTCCTGTACCTCATCAATGAATAATGAAATATGATTTCAAAAAAAGAATGATTATCACATTGGTGAAAGTTTAAGAAGGAAAACATCAGAAATTTTGTTAATTCCTTCCCCAATCAAATGGAAAAGTGATCAGTGAAAGATAGCTATGTAAATAAGCAAAACATGAGTACAGAAGTAACAACTGATGATGAAATTAACAAGGAACCACACAAGAATAATTGTAATGAGCTATGAATCATCCTTAATGTCCTTTCTTTAATTTTTTTTTTTTTTACAGTGAGGAAAAAATCATCATGGACACAAATTTACGTCACAAAATAAGCATACATAAATAGTTGTTGAGCTGACAGGTTTATTTTTCTTTTTTTTTCACTACCCCCCCAAAAAAAGTTTGATAAATACTCTTGCAGAAACAAATACATATGGAAACTTGGCTGTTTAAATATGGTCATTTGCATTTTGAAGTAACAAGAAGGAAGCTTCACTGTCAATTTCGTTATTTAACTACCGGTGATTTTAGGGTTGATAAAACAATTTGTCGAATGACTTATAAAAAAGAACAGAATACAGATCAAACATGCATTCATAATTTCAAGTGAACTTTCATACAAATATATACATATCACACAAGCGAAAATAATTATTAAGTAGTATAAACAGAGAAGTTACTAGACAAAATTTTTGAAATTCTACATACTAAGGATCAACACTTCTATCTTAATCACTTATCACAGAATCTTTGTAATTTTGTAAAATATTACTTTAAGTGCCATTTACCAGCTAAGTTCAATTAATCTTTTCCAAACTTATTAAACAAGCAATAGATCCAATGAAAATTAAAGCTTTGATTTTTTTTCAACAAATGTAACATCATAAATTAAACTGAAAGGTTATATTTACTACAATGATATAAGTACCACTCTCTCACTAGATTTCATGCTACTTCACCAAATTGTTTTCATTTGGACCTACTGTATTAGTCTTCATACATTATTTTTTCCTTGTGTTTGTGTTCTCATTATGTATATATAGGTTTGTAAACTTTGAAATTCTATGTATAATGTATTGGAGAAAAAGTACTAATCCATTTGTGGCAATGATTCCAAAGTTTCCATTATAAACTTTACCAAAAATTGTAATGACTGGTTTTATGAGATACGAGTTGGATTAAGTCCTTTTTTTTTTGTTCTTACTGATTATGGTTTGGATTTCAAAATATCTAAAAGTAGAAAACTTTAAGTTTAAATTTTAAAAATGTTATTATTTTGGAACTTTTTTTTAATGCACTTACAGAATCAATTAAGTTCTGAATATTACATCCTTTTATTACAAAACCCCTTAAATCACAGATTTTTTTTAGAACTATTATTTTTTGGATTTGACAAGATAATTTACAGTTTAGGTATACTTACCTATGGTTGTTTTGGTTCTATAGCATGTTTTCTTCCCACGATATATATATATGTAACTTTTAAATCAAACCATTTTTGTTCATAAAATAGCCTGAAAATGTTCAAGTTCATTAACACAGAACTCGTTAAAAATTTGCTAATGCTGATTACAAAGCACCCATAAAAAATAAATAGGATATTTACATTACGGTTCTGAACATTCATAGTGATAAAATCTTAATTACACCTTCTAACAAAATATTTTAGAAACAAAACAATCTTTATAAACATAACCATTTTTACTTAAAGAACTCACCGACACTTTCTAAACTGACTGGTAACAAGAAAACGGTAAATAAAAACAAATAAACAACTGATTTTGCAGTGAACAGCCAAGGGTCTAAATGCTAATGATGACAAATTAAAGTCAATGCAAGAAAAAATAAAATATTTAAAATGTTCAATACATTAAAGTTACATAAAAAATATTAAATGTGCAAAAACACATTAATGAAAATTGACTAAAAACAGCAGGAAGACTTGGTAACACAAAATGTCTATTTGCATGTTTTTGCTACAAGAAGAGCCCATTTCTGTGCAATAGCAGAATTGCAATCCCAAGGCGTATCATATGTAATATTTCTACCAACTTGTGCTCAACAAAAGTTTTCTTCCTGTATAGTTCATGATCCTAAGGATTTTTTCATTAGTTTTGTTTTTATTATTTTAAAATATGGCTGAAGAGTGATTACAGATCAGTTAATAAAATACCAATTTTCATACATATACTTTTAACTCCTTTTTTTTAAATTATTTTATGCTAATTATAATGCCAGCCATTCATAAACTTCTATCTTCATTTGATAATGTAATTGACATTTCTTTTTGTAGAATTAAAAAATATTTACAATGCATGAAATTAAGAACTTTATGGCTTACTTGTATTGCTGACTTGATACAAAAAGATAAATATTTGTACAAACTTGGGCTTCAAAAAAATATGGATGTGAACCGATTTAAAGATAACTATCACCAACTTTTTCTCTGCAAGTCACTTATTATTCAATGCCATATGCAAAACTCTAGAGAGGGCTTATAACAATTACACGAAAAATTAAACAATGAAAATGCTGATGCTGGAAAGATTTGCTTGGTTAAACAGACCCTACACACAATTTTCATCATTTTCTCCAATTTAAACTATTAACTAAAAGAACAACATAAAAAGTATATTTTTCACACAATTTAGATTCATTAGATTTATATTCCAGAAATTATACTACATTGATAATGTACACCTTATTTGACTTTTCTAGAGGCAAGGATTGACTGGCTAAGGAAAACCCTGAAGTCCAACAAGTGAAAGTGATTGAGGGTGAAGAGGATTATAAAAAAAATACAAGTGTTCAAGTTAAAACTGAAGTGGAATTATATAATATTACATTTTCTTTTACATATGTTACCAGTAACCTACACAAAATTTTCATAAAATGACTTAATTATAATAACAAATGATTCAGAATTTAAGGTGTTTTGGCTGTCTAGAGGGAAACATCTAACTCTAACAATGTCAGGAAATGGCTTGTAGGGCATTCTCCCCCTAGCCAGTCTGCCACTACCTAAAAGTATAGAAAAACAAACATACAAAGTATTTGAATATTTTAACTCTGGACAAAAAATACACCTTCAAAACATGAGAAAAAATTCATATCTATCATATCACACAAGCAAAACACCAAAGAACTTACATTAGTTGTAATACTAGGGGAGTTTTTGAGTGCATTTAAAACCAAACTCAATTTAATAAGTTTCTGAAATGAAATCATTTTCATAGTAAATTTGCAGGGATACAATTAGAGTACACAATTATCTCTGTTTTTCTTCTTCATTTTTTTAAAATTTAAGTTATTTCTTTCATCGAGTAATTTGCTCTAACACTTTTCTACAATGAGATTTCAGTTTTAAGCTTTACTTCTGCAGTCTTGTGATACTTCAGAGTGTATTATCAACGAAAAACTTGTTAATGTGCATTTTTATAGAGAAAGTTGCTCTGATACTTTCTTACTAATGTGACTCGCAATTTTTAAGCTTTGCTTCAGCAATCTTTTTATATATTAAAGTGTATTGTTAATGAGCAAACTTGTTAATGGACAGCTCAGTATAGGTTATTATCCCTACCAGATTCTTAAATGTGTGCTGTAACACAAAAGGTGAAATAGGTTAATCTATAATTACACATACTGTCATTATTTATGTGTATAGACTAGATGTAGCATGCAAGCCATTGTGTAAGTTTATATATGGTGTTATATGCATTATGCTTGCTGCTACCATTGATAAACAGTTCAGGCAATTGTAAGATATTACAAAACAATGGTCTTCATAATCTGATATTAAACACTTTATCACATTAACTTTCACAATGAGTTGAAATAAGGAGCTCTTTCTACTACGTAATTGCTCATTACAACATAAATAGCTATGCATCACAATACAAAAAAAAATCATTTTCAATTTGATAACCTTTCATTTTTAAAATGTGAGAAATAAAACCCTAATATCTCATCACATTTAATTGACTTATGAATAATATGAAAAACTGTAGTTACAGTATAATGATATCTGGCTCACAGTTTCCCTGGTGATGTGTTGCAAAAATATTCCCCTTTCGATAGCTGTATTAAGAAAGTAAACAGTTACAATAAAATGCTTTAGAATAATAATTTCAATGGGACGACTAAGTGAAAATATACTTTCAAGCCATTTTATTTACCATCATTTGCTTTTTTAGGTGTTTTTGTGGATTTATTTTTCAACTAGTTCAAGATGTATCTTGGGGATGGGGAATACAGCTTTGGAAACATTAGAATAATGATAATTAGGTAAAGATTTTATGTATATTCTTTTTTACTTATTTTTTTTTTCATTTCACTATTTACTTCTTTGTGAATTTGAAATGACACCAAATTATGTGAAAAAAAATTGTAAGATCATTTCACATCATTGTAGAAGGCATTACCATTAACTAAAGTGTTTGATTCAATGCATAAAAATATAAAATTTGTAAACTTATCTGAAATAATGGTGACTAAGTCATCAATATAGCAGCAAAAAAGTAAAATTACAAATCAGTTTTACTCCATTCCTTAAGAATCACAAGACTAGTCATTTTTTGGGGTTTTGTGAATTCTTTAATCTTTTGTGCATTATTATACAAATGTCTTATTCTCCTTTTTGTTTTATGAAATTACCCAAAATTCTTCTTTCAACATCACAAACAATTTTTACAGTGGAATAGGTGCAGGTTTCAAACTGACCTGAGATTCAAATAATTAATTGAAATAAAATTGTATGTAAAAAAATTTCTTCACCATGACAAATCTAATTCACATTTTCAAATAGCCTAATTCTATTTGTTTAAAGCTATTGGCACCATGGTTAGCTCTACAACTAGTACAGTGGTATTTGTGTTAGCATGATGATTTTTTATGTGCATGACTAAATAAAAATTCACAATTCTGACTTAACCAAATTTTCATTTTCCTAGCCTTTATAACAAAGCTAAAGTCAAACATTAACATATTTTCAAAAATTTTTCCTATAAATCCTAAGTAGAAGACTAATAAAACAACATTTTTACATTTAGGCAAATCATTGTTGAACCTGGGTACTAGTAGAAAATGTTTGTATCCAGGGGGAATCAGTAACTCCTGGTTAAGTGGATGTGGTCAGGTAGTCTATGTGATGTTACATGCCAAAATATCCACCTAATGTTGACACAAGGATGATCACCAGAATCATCACACAGATTATAATCATGATTTGTTTCTAAAGAGAAAAAAAAACAGATAACAAGAAAAATGGTAAGATAACAATTATTATTGCTAAAACTTAATAATATCAATACTACCATCAATGAAAAAAAGTCACTCGTTAAAAAAGAATACCTTTGAAAACTATAAATCAAATTGCTGAATAATTAAGAAAACCTTAAAAGTAATAAATTAACTATACAATTTTTATGTATTTTGTAAATGTAGTATTAAATACTGACTGTTTTAATGTATAAATAAACTTTATTTACTTTGAAATGTTTGTTTTGTGGTGACCTTGCACCACTGGTTATGTTTATAAGTAAATATGACAAGGGAGAAATGAAATGAAATATATAAGAATATTTTACATATGTTTTCTTTCTACGTTGGGTAAAATGTAGTGAACCATAAGTTAAAATAAGTAACACTAAAACACAATTGAACAAAAATACCAGTGCAACTTATTCACTGTTATATTTTCTGTAATAATTTACTTATTGCAATTACTCATTGTATGTGACTAATGTAAGCACGTGATCTATGCACTTCCATAATTATTTCTAGTACAATGTGTGTGTATATATATATATATATATACTTTTTCCTCATGAAGTTAGTTTACTCTTCTTTCCGAGCTCTAAGTCTTCAATTTTCCTACCATTTGTTAATCAAATGCTATGTTTAGCAAACTAGGTGTGAGAAGTAACCTTACTTAAAAACTGACACAATCAACATCTCAAAATACACAATTTAAAACATATATATATGTAGAAAGTATTTTAATCAAGTTCTTAAACAAGTGCCTTAAAGCTTTAATAATCAGAATGTATTTAGAAGACTTTTAAAGTGTTTGTGTGAACTTAGGTTGTGAGCAACTCAGCTATGGTTGATAAAAGTCAAACCTATTTTTAAAAATGGCTGTTAGAAGCACTCTGGGGACTGGGTGCCAGTCAAAAGAAAACCATCAAGTTCAGTGAAGGTGAATCTGTGAAGAAGTGGCATACGAGTGAAACAGTTCATTCTAAACTACTCAACTGAACAAAACACAACTATTTAAGGTTTTCCCAAGATTATTTTTAATCTAAGGGATTAATGTTCAACTACAGTTATGCATAAAAAGTAAAATGAATGAGTAATCATGGGAGACTAATACATCAAGTCAGTCATCATATGCAAGATTCTTATAACTCCATTGGCACAACTGTTTCAGGCTATGACCTCATGATGTTTTATATCTTGGCACTTTAATAATTAATTGTTAGAACATTAGAACAACCAATGTAATCTATTTGAACATCACTGGATTTTTTACACTTTTTCAAAACTATTTATGGATCACATCGTTTGTGGATCCAACACTGTAATGGTTACAAGCAACCCTAATAACAGCCACAAACAAAATTAAATAAAAATACCATAAACGTTACAATAAATCCCATTATTTTTGAGATTTTCTGTGCATTTTACATGGAAACTTAATGATTTCACCCTCTCTTTTTTTTTTTCCAGCTTTTTACATGAAATGTTGTCAGGCAAAAAGACGTAAATATGAAGCAAGATGTGAACTTCACTAGTAGTGAACACAATCCAGATATATCATTAATGTAAAGATTAATTTCGATATGTGGCTGATAATGGTAGTACGTCAGACTGAGATACCTAGAATTTAGGAATCAGAAGAAACCAATTTTGAGAATTATATCTCTTTATTTCTTACTTATCATCAAAAACTCATGTTAAATTTCTTTATGTTATGTTTTTGCAACATTATCAGCCCATGAATGTGATGTATCATGGAGGAGGGGGTGCCTTTGCTGGAACAACAGATCTCCATCAACAAATTAGAAGGTGGAATACTGTAACTCAACAAGATAGCTCCAGCACAGACAACACCAACAAAGCTTTTCCTTACCTGATATGTTCACAGTTTGTCTGGACAGTTCAATTGAAACCTTCTTCCAGAGCTGTATCATTATCCATCAGTTTAGTGTTTAGATTACAATATATGATTTTCAAACAAAGATATACAATGTGTATTTTTTTGTAGGTGCCTCCTTCTTTTCCGTATTTCTGTAAGTCTTCTAAAATTTCCTCTCAAATTTTTTATTTTTAGGTACTTTTAATTTAGTTGAGCATTCCTAATTCTTTCTCTCTTCTGTTTTCCAACAGTAACTAAAAGGCAAACTACAATACTTATCCAAGAGTTAAGAAACTAAGGTAGAAGATGTAATAGCAAAGTGTGTAGTATGTGAATTGGTATTCTTCATATACACTATAAAGGTATACTACCTTAGTGTTAAATGCTCAAATCTGGTGAATCAAAGAAACCAATAGGTCTAATGTCAAGGATAAACTGTTGTCTGCCAAACATCAGTACTGAGTTGTAATATTGAACAAAAGGCTTACTGGGCAGCAACACAAGGCAGAATAAAATTAAATTTAAAATGTTATTTTTGCAAGCCTCTGATCTGAAACTTGTAATGGATTAATTAAGAGAAATGTTAAAAATAACCTGCAGCATTGTGTAACTTTTATCATCAATATTAGGTATACTACTTCCCAAAATTGGGGAGATACCGAGATTAAGAAATCACTGTTTCTAAAAGGAAAATAAGCAAAGAAATGGGGGAGGTCTAGAGATTTGAAGATGAATGAATAAATCTATTTGTTCTTGATGAGCTTGAGCCAAAATCACAGCTGGGTGAAGAAACTCAAAGATGTTGTCATCTTAAATGTACTTGTTCCTCACACATTCATGCAATCTCTTACATAATTGTTATGATATCAGTTAACCATAAAGTACGAGTTACAAAAATTTGTAAATTCCAAAAGTAAAATAAAAGAATAACCTTCCTTATTCTAACTTTATCATTCCATCATAAATACAGGCTAAAAGAATATAAAGCATAGTATTACTAAGACAAAAAAAAATGAAAGAAAGAAATACTAACAAAGAAATATTTCTAGTTCTTGAACTACCCACATGGTGTTTTCATGTTAAACTGATTCCTCAAAGAGTATTAGTTAGGTCCTCTTACTAACGAAAGAATCAGCAGGATAAACCACAAAGCAATTCTGAATTTAATTAACTGAAAAATTAAGCAAAAAATTAAACAGACTGGACATCTGTGTGAAACAAAAATCTTTATTAAAACAAAAATAGTGTGTGTGTGTACTTTATTTCTGGATGCTGGACAGTCACCTTTCATTGGATTCATGAATTAACTGGTTTTCTTCCATCAAAATGACTTCCCCTCAACCAACTCACTTAAGGGACAATAATGTTTACTCTACCCAACCTATTCCAGAATGTTTAAATCTAATGTTTCTTACTTAAATGGAAATGTTGGATCTACCCATAGTGACTATAGCACTACCCACATGACTGGTCATTCTCGTTCAGATATGGGAGACTATAGCATCGAGATATCATCTGACCTTCCATTTCCTGGAGGACACTGGCTATCAACTACATTCTTGAAGAATGTACAGCCACCCACCCATTCCATGGGCAGAACAGGTGTTATCTCAAGAGAATAATGAAGGCAGCTCAAATGAAATAAACTTATCGACTTTCGGGACCATTTGTTATCCAAATAATGCATAGACTTTGAAAATTTTTTGAGGGACTCTACAATAAATAACAAGGTTGAAAATGAATGCTATGCCTGCATAGAACACCCACATCTTATTAACTTTGGTTTGTTTTTAATATTTATGCAAAATTACATCACGGGTACCTGTACTAACCATCCCAAGTTTTAACTCTCAAATGCCTTGGTGCAGGCATTTGATGCACCAGTTGTATGGTTTGCTTTTTTGCATTGCAAAGAAAGAAGAAAATAAACAGTTCTGTATGAAATAGTTTGAAACTTCAGAACATCATGTAGATTCTATAAATAAAACATATAAAATGTTTTATTTATAGAAATTCACAGCTTTCAAATTTAAAAAAAAAGATTTCATTGTGATATGTTTTTTAAGGAACAATTAAAAATGCTGACCTTTATTGTAGAGTTTTGATTACTGATGTTATATCTTTCTATATTCTTGCTAAAACTTTCCTATAAAGATTTTATTTTTGTTTTGATTCGAAAAAACACCACACACTCGGTTTCATTGGAATAAAACAAACCCTTTTTAACATACCAATGTTTAAAGCAAACAGACTTGTTTTTAAACTGTTAATCAGAAAGTTTCATTTAATATATGTAATAAGTTTAAAGTTGTTATATATATATATATATTTGATTTCTTAGGCCAATAAGATCTAATGTAGACATGGCCTCATAAATAAACAGACTTGTCAGCAATATGATACAAAAGGAGTAAAGTATGCCTATCCTATCATGTTCCATGATGTAATTGTAATGGAAGTTATTCACAAACACTTTTTCTTCTAACAACAATCACCAAGCAAAGCTTTTAACACTCTGTTTTGGTCTCTATGCAAATCTGCTGAACTGGAAGCTATATTGGTTTACACAGTTGAAAAGAACTGGAAAACAGCACTTATTTGCTTAGGTCAAAAGCCAATAACTTCTTAAAGCAGATATATTCGCAATTACACCATACAACGACATCTGAGGTTGAGAAACAGTGATTGGATCAAATTGATAATGAAGCATTTTGGGCATTTCACTGTATTACACATGCTTTAAGAATTGAGAAAATATGCATATCACAAAAAGTTCCATGTGTGGCACACATATATCCAATAAGAAAAAATATTGTGCACACTTAGTGAATGCTTACAAGTGGTTATATAACA